CTATCTGCAGATTGCAGTCTCCTTGGTAAGAGAGGGAAAGGCACTGTGATGCAGGCTGGTCTTCACACGCTTCTCCCTCTGTCTTCGGTTGCAGAACCAGACCCTGACCACCTCCTTCTCCAGGTGCAGACCCTCGGCCATGCGCACGATCTCCTGGGAGGACGGCTTGCTCTTCTCCCCGAAGTTCCTCTCCAGGGCCTCCTTGGCAGCCAGGCTGAGCGAGTTTCCAGCGTTTCAACAGGGGAAATACACAGTTCTGTTCAGATACAGCACCAGCACAAAGAGCAGTAACTGACTGGGGACTAAGCTCATGGACGACACAAAGACTGACCCCTGTAGTCTAGTAAAACTCTTTCCCATCTTCAGATGGAATATTGTGGAACAGCTTCTGTTCTGGAGTCCTGGAGGTTTTACAAATATCTTTCAGTTGAAAATGTTTTTTATCTCATTATGTAATGCAGCCCTTGGGACAACTACAGACCCCCAGAACAGGGTGTGACCCCTGCTGTACCTGAGGGCACTTACAGCCTCCGAAGCCCACGTCCGAGGCAGTCAGGGTGTCTTTACCTGATGGTGGTTCTCCGCTTGCGTTTCCTCTCGTTCATGCCGATTTTCTCATTAAACAGGGCTGTGGAAAGACATGACGATATGTTTTACACCCGCAGAGCCACAGGGAAGACTACAGTGAATCTATGAAATATCACACTGCTGATATTGTAATGAAGAATTGAATGCTCTGAGTCAGCAGCCATGTCACCCTGCAGCTTACAACTGACAGCCCACTGAAACTAAGCAGGGGAAAAACTAAGCTTGCTGCTGGAAGGGGTGTTAGTGGGGCCAGCAGGGGGTGCTTACCCTGTGGTCTGTGTGGGTCCTACTGCCCCAGTATATTGAGAGGGACACTGTACTATAAAAAGGTGCCATCCTTTGGATGAGACGCAAAACTGAGGTCCTGACTCTCCCAGGCTGTTTCTTGAAAAGAGTAAGGGTGTTACTCCAGTCTCCTGGCCAAATTTCCCATTGGCCTCCTAATAATTCCCATCTATGAACTGGCTTCATTATTCTGCCCTCCTCCCCACTGATAGCTGATGTGTGGTGAGCGTTCTGATGCGCTATGAGGGGAGTCCCCATTACCTGTAAAGCAGTTTGAGAGGAGTGTCCAGAAAGGTGCTACTGTATGTAAGCGTAAGCAATTATTATTTTTCTTCTTGCTGTTGTTCCTCACCCAAGGCACGACAGCAATAGCTGCAAATGGGAACTTGTAACCACAACCCACCAGTTATGAGTTCAGGGGCTCACCCACTGCTTTGTCGTGTCAGAATCATGATCATTATCATCATTATTATCACCATCATCACAGAATTCTCAATTTGGTGCCATTTTAGGCACAGCTGAAGATCTGCACCATATGCTTTGGGTTTTTCAGAAGAAGCAGGCCTGGAGCGCAACTGGACAGACGCCAGCCAGATGACCCACTTGGACCCTGCTCATGGCTCAGCCTCACACACACGGGGTCCCCCCTGGCACCTCCCTGCAGGACTCCTCACCGCCAGCCTGCTCCGCCTCCTCCAGCCACTTGGCCAGGATGGACTTGAGCTTGCAGGCGTTCTTGAAGCTCAGCTGCAAATTCTCGAAGCGGCAGATGGTGGTCTGGCTGAACTCCGAGCCGTGCACGGCGGCCAGTGCCTCCCCCACGTTGGTCTGGGTGTAGCCTGATGGGCAGAGGTGGGACACAGGGACATCAGGGAGATGGAATCTCAGACAACATACTGTATGTTTTCGAGGGCTTGCAGCACACTGAAGAATTCAGTTATTTAAAAAAAGACTAGATACTTGAAAAAGCAGGCACAGAAAGGGCAAAGGCCTTGATTCGGGAAACTTGGTGGTCTGCTGCTCAGCTGACATCAAAGGAAGACAGATTGGTGTGATTTTTTTGAAGTTTTAGTCTCAGTAAATTTGACTTAACCCGCACAGCAAAGGGGCAGCCCCCTGACCATAAGACGAGGAGGCTCGGACCCCATTCAGGGAGAGGAGTTGCCCAGCGGAGAGCTGCCAAGGTGGAGATGAGTTGGAGGAGGGATTAAAAAGACGAGTGTGAGGGAGAAAAGGCTGAGGTATAGGATAGCTAGCTTTTTAAATGTAGAGAACGATGTTGGGAAAGACTCTGATTTAGAACAGCTGAGGAGAATTGCACTTGGGCTGCTGTCTTTCCCAAGTTTCTTCGTAAACTCCATGCATTGAATCTGAGATGTTCAGTCCACACACATTATTTGTGAATCCGGAATGTAAGTGTATTCTTTGTGTGGGAAAATGAAAGCAGTAAGGATGAGAAAGCTTTGTGCTATTTGGAAAATATCACATTATTTTTGGATGAAGAGTTTGTGGAATAGCACAATGTTTGTTTCCTTCTCCTGGAAAAATAAAATCACCCAGGGTGCTGTATTTCTTCAAGAAAAGTGCTGAGAAATCGGCGAATGACCATTTGGCATAGGATTTACTGGAAACAAAAGCCCCATAAAACTCTACTGCAGAAAAAAATAGTATAATAAGTAGCCAGATTTGGCAAAAGAATTTAATTGAATAAAACTGAGGGTTGAGGGCCTCTTTTTCAAGACACCATAAAAACAGCACAGAAGATCCATCCATCCATTTGCTTTTGAACCACTTCATCTAATTATGGGGTGCGGGGGAGCCTGTGAATATCAGTGGGTGCAAGGTGAGGTACATGTACACCCTGAACAGGACTCCAGTCCATTGCAGGGCACACACAGACACACCTGGTAGGTTAAAACCTTTTACTGTCTTAGGCCTTTTAAGCCAATGTCCGCCTGGAATTTCCTCCTCTTAAATATTTTGTTATATCTCTGCAGCAGAACATAGCAGGAGCCTGTTTCAGGTTTTAAATTGAATCTTACCCTCTTGGCTTTGAGTGTGAACAGTCAAGTTTCTTTTATTCCTTAATGTGTCCACTCAGCAGAAAAACATGAAAAAAACGAATATTTGTTTGGGGTCTTCAGAGGTCAGCATTTTCAATTCTAGGCCTGTCAGGTAGCTGAAAATGCTTGTAGGCCTTGTCCTAGTTGTCTACTAGTTTGGATAAAAATTTGGGACAAATTGATCAATTTGAAAAAATTCAACCTAACGTTTTGTGAAGACTGGACTTGGAATGAAATTTCTTGCATCCCAAAATAAATGAGAAAACTTATTGAAAGCAATGACAATAAAAGCCATTGCAATTGCTTTAAAAACCTTTCGACACTGCAGGAGCAAATCTTCCCAGAGAAACCAGTTAACCTTCCAGGTATGCCCTTCACCTGTGGGAGGAAGCCAGAGCCACAGAGGAAACCGAATACAGGGAGAACAAACAAACTAACACCATTCCAGGGATTAAACCCAGCGATGCTTACCAGTGCACCGCCCTGAAGTATTTCCGTAAATGTAGGCGAAATCTCCCAACACAGGAGATAAAATCCACCCACATTAAGAAAGTTTTTTGCATTCATGTTGCAGAAACAACAATAATCATCCTTTTGGTCACTTCCTTAACTGAAATCGCTTGTTTTGGAATGTGACCTTGTCGAATTACATTTGTGAAGCTAAAAACCATGACAACCCATGCTTTCTCTTCCCCCTGTCGCCCTTGGTTGCGTGTCTTTACACCGGAGGAAAGGCCGCGGGTCTGTGCAAGGAACGCGACTCACCCAGCTTGATCCTCCTGAGCTTGAAGTCGTTGGCGAACTTTTCCAGCTCCCTGATCTGGGGCGAGTCCATGTCCACGGGCTCCTCCGGGGGGCGGCTCTTCTTCCTCAGCTCCTGCTTGAAGTCCCCCAGACTGGGCTCCTCGGACAGCAGGGCCTGGGGCAGAGGGGGGAAGGGGTGGCCCAGGGCACAGGAGCCGGAGCTCAGCGTGTGCTCCGGAAACTTGTACAGGCAGGGGCCCAGTCCGCCTGCGGACACAGACGTACATCCCCCCGGGGGGGGGTCAAAGCTCATAGCACCACCTACAGTACTGCGCAGCGAGGAAAACCGGAAAAATATTAAATGGCAGCAGCATTTGTCCTGAACACTGGCACTGGTCCCTGTGGTTCTGGCAGCGCCATGTTCCAAATGCCAGTCAGAGACTCGGAGGGTTCCTTGCTCATTGGACACTGAGGAAGACTACAGTCGTGCTCGTCTTGTTACGAAACAGAAAGCAAAGACCTCCGAGACCCTCGGGGGTCTTCAGGTAGAGAGAAAGGAGGGTCCCCGAATAACTGTGGTGACGCATCACCCCAAAGTTTTCCGTGTGAAACCAGACATCTGACTCAGTGATTTGTTTTGCTCTTATTGATAGAATGGCCTTGACTGTGTTTTTACTGTGAGTTTTAGTGATGCATTTATTCTTTTGCTCAGTCTGTTATGTGTAATTACCAGACCAAGGAGCAATTGTAGGATCTAATGGTCTGATTAGTTGATTTGGATGACGAGAGAGATGTGCAAAGAGAGGTCCTGGGTGCGAAATTTATACATAGGAAAGCTGAAGTGTGCAAGTTCAGGATATAACCTTCCTACCAAACTTCTGTTATAAACTCTATATAAGCTAATATGTTTTATTCAACTGTACATATGTCCTCGGATCTGGTTTCTGACTGGATCGCTCAGCGTCGAACAGAGGCCTGCAACCTGCGTCTATAAACCTATAAAGAAAACCGCTTAGTACAAACTTTTAATTAACCGGATTCATCATTTAATGAATAATTTTATGAATAATCTTTATGATTATTAAAGTTTTAAGTAATAAAAAAATTCATAAGAAAATATTATTGGGAGCATTTCCCATTCCAAAGGAATTCCACAAGCTAATCACATCACAACACCTAAAACACTCCCTAATATTGTTGTCAATCACAGTCTATGTAAGGAAATGTTAGAGACATCCATTTTCAACCAAATCCTTTAAATCCAGTGCTTTTGTTCTTCTGTTTACAAACCTAAGATTTCTTTTGAGTAAAAGTGGTAAACATCTCCACCTTGTGGCTAAAACCAACACAAAAGGAACTCGTTGCAAGAGCACTTTGGATGCACACTCCTGGAATTTGGTAAGGATGTCTTTTGAATGTTGTAGTGACCTGTTGCCTCAAAGGAATTGCTCCCTGATTATTATGTCGTAGACACGTGACATAAAACCTCAGCAATACAGGATCTTCAGGAAGTTACGTTTCTGTTCAGTGTCATTCATCCATTCATTTTCTAACTGCTTCTTCCAATTCAGGGTCGCAGGGGAACCTATCCTGGCAAGCAACTGGTGCAAGGCAGGGTACACCCTGGACAGGGCAGCAGTCCATCACAGGGCAGACAGACACACTCACACCTAGGGCCAATATTCTTAGAAGGCAGTTAACCTACAGCACCAGCATGTCCTGGGACTGTGTGAGGAAACTGGGGCACCTGGAGGACATCCAGGTGAACATTGGGAAAACATACAAACTCCACACCAATAGCACCCCAGGTCTGAAATTGAACCCAGGGCCCCAGTGCTTTCAAGCAGCAATGCTAACTACTATACTACTGTGCCATTCCCAGTGTCATCGGAGTGTCATGGGGGTGGTGTGGTGGTTCTTTGGCAAAGGATCTGCGCCTGTGGCTGGAAGGTTGCTGGTTCACGTTCTGTGGCTGGCAGAGGAATCCTACTCTGTTGGGCCCCTGAGCAAGCCCCTTAACCCCAACTACTCTGGGGGTGCTGTATAAATGGCTGACCCTGCCCTCTGACCCCAAGCTTCTCTCTCTGTGTGTCTCTTTGAGAGCAAGTTGGGGTATGTGAAAAGACACATTCCTAAAACAAGAAATTGTATATGGCCAATAAAGTGATCTTATCTGATCTTATCTATCCAGTGGCCTTCATGATGTCAATAACTTGTCATTTAGGAGTCCCTGTCTGGCCTAAAAACACCCATCTACTGTACATAACAGTTGTGTGATAAAGCTGCGAGGTTTCTGGTTGCATTATTAAGCCATGGATGCTTGACAGCTTCTTCAAAGGTGCAATGTGGATAATCTCTCTCCTTCCTATAAGTAAAGACAATTTTAAGTGGCAATTGTTATTTTGGACCCCAAGCTTGCAAAACAAGGAAATGATTTTAAAATAGGGTGGCACTGCTGGGGCCCTGTGTTCAGTCCTGAATGCAGGGGGTTGATATCTGTGTTAAGGTTGTATGCTCTTCCTGTGTTCACATGGGTTTCCTCTTGATGCTGCAGTTTCCTCCTATAGTCCAGAGACATACTGGTAGGTTAGCTGGTCCTGCTGTGAGTGTGTGTGTCTGTGTCTGCCCTCAGGCAATCTGTTCAGGGTGTATCCTGCTTGCTGGGATAGGTGACCTGTTACGCTGAATTGCATGAAGCAGTTCTAAAATGGATGAATTGCTTTTATAATAGGATCAGGATCCTCAGTGGGCTCTCTGCAGACTGCACTTCTAAGACATCTTTAGAATATTCCTCCCTTAGTTTGCCTGTATTAGAAAAGTGATAGTGTGGGCTACCTATCACAATGAAAAGTTACACACAAGCTGTATGACTGTTTGCTATGTGTGGAGCAGTGGTTAGGGCACTGGACTTCTAGCTAGAAAATTGTGGGTTCAAATCTCAGGTAAGATTCTATTTTTTACCTTTGAACTACTGTAGGTACTTTGTATATATTGTTTCACTTACATACTAAACTGTAGGTTTCTTTGGGTAAACATGTCAGATAAACAAGTTGGTAAGTAGTAAATGATTTGAGTGATGGGGCCAGAGTTGGAGTATTCATGCTCGCCTGGGAGGCTTGTGTAGAGCCTACATAGGTTTGCAAAAAATTGTTAATAAATAACAATAGTGCTGGCTATCGCTGTCTTTAGCAGCAGTAAAGATATAACTATATTAAGATAAATTTGAATTGGTATTTATTCACTTCTAGGGTTGTATGGTTCATCTCCTAGACCAGGGATGGACAATCAAGGTAGGTTAGTCTATAGGTTTCCTAGGTCTCTTCAAAGCACCAGCACCTGAGAAGCTGTTAAACTGGTCCCCACTAACCAATAACAAGCAGGTGGAGCCTGTTAGAGCCGAGTTAGAATGAGAGCCTGTACTGGCCCTCCGGGACCAAGACCAGAGTTGCCCTCCCCTGGTCTAGCAGCCATAGGTTTAGACATGGCTGGCACAGCTCGTACTACATTTTGATTATTCACTCAACAGCAGAACCTGGAAGGACGGTGGGAAGCTTCCTGCTCGGCAGAAGAGCGCCGTTGGGTTTTCAATGCAGGTCCCCTTCAGGACCACCAGATGGCAGTGCTCTGCTATTAACTTGAAGGCAGAATTAGCCTTACTCGGCCGACTCCGTCGCTTCAGAAGGGAAGTGATCGTTCCTAAATATTTGTTTCTTTTTATGGCATGTACGTAAATAAATGCATTTTGAGGCTTATAAATCAAATAATTTGGAACAATGTTTCTGATTTTATAGAGTGCCTTTCCACGGTGATCTTCATTTAAAAATGTCTTTACAATGAGTCATATTAGACGAAAGTGGAGCTCTGCTTATTAACACTTGATTATAATTGCGTGTAATTAGCTGAGAAATTAGAAGCACAGCACACGCTGATCAACAGTGACTCCCCGTCTGACGTCTCATCTCAGAGCGACACTGGCTAGCTTCCAGAATCCTATTATTGACCAAATCCTAGTGGCATCTGATTGTTTCTGCTGGTACCTGTGGTAGTGGATAGGACAGCTTTCTAACTGATGAAGTTTGTTAATTGATGAGTCACGGACTGGGCTGCTCTGAGGCTATAGATGCATTTAAAAGATGGAAGCACCTTCAATCTAAAGAACCTAGACTGACGTCATAACGTTGTGATGTAATCTAATGTTGATACAATGCTTTAAAAGTAGTTGTGGTATGGTAAACTAGGCATTCTTTATTTACATTGTATAGTCTTTTCTCATTCTTACAGTGATGGTCAAGGTATTTTCCATACTGACCAACCAGAGCTGAAACAGCTTCACATTTAATGGATCGCACATTTTTTACATTTACTTTAGACTGTGCTATAATCCTGCACGACACAAAACAAGATTAAAAGGTGCATCATTACAGCTGATTGATAAGAATCACCATCAGGTCATTTCTCCTAAAAGATTGCATGTAAAGACATGCACATTAGAAAACACCACAGTCTGCTTTTCATACCTTAGTGATGTGTCTGTGATTAGTTTTCCAATATGTATTTAAATATAGATTTATTAGAAAGGAAGTAATTGTATTTTAAAGAATAAAAGGAGCTGGGATCTTGACTAAGTAAACACTGGAAACATGTTCATTCTTAATTCCATATCGAGATATTAGGTAAATAAATGACTCACTGAAATTACTTAAGTTCATATTATTTTTTAAATATATAGCAGCTAGTGTATTTTTCTATGAATGACTCACACCTTCATAAATGTGATCTAAATATTCCACTTCCTTCTCTCTGTTTAGGCAAAATTGCACTCCTGTTTTTACTTAATGTGCATCTACTGTAAGTGAGGAAGTGTGAGGTATCTAAGTGTATCTAAGTCTGCATGTCTTAAAGTTCGCATATCTAAGAGAGCACTTAAAACCCAATTTCCTGCTGTTGACACATTTGTAGATATCCCCATTGTGCCCAAGTTTTTAATCTGAACACAAATCATTTTATGAGATCTTGGCGCAAACATCATGCCTGGACGAACAGAATTTGTCAATACTTTTGAGGATTTTGAAAACTTGTATCAGGATCCCTTGTAGTCTCTTTGTTTAAGACTAAAGATACTCAGTTCTATTAACTTGTCATAGTAGGAAATAGCAATACATCTAATCATTGTTCTTTAGACTGATTCCAGAGAAGAAATGTATATACAGTATACTGTACTTTTTGTAATGTGGTGACCAAAATCATGTATGATATCCTAAATACTTCATTCTAAATTATTCTAAAGACCATTGTACACATGTTAACATAATATCTTTGAGATAGATTCTACACTTTTAACAATATATCCTTACATTCAGTTTGTTTGTGTTTATTGTCTGAAGGAGGAAAGTTATCCTGTACATCTCACTTTCTTCAGGATCACCAGGTAAAACCAATCTAGAGGACACATGTACACTTAAAACTGAGAACAGGAGGCACTTCTTCATTCAAAGAGTTGTGGGTGCATGGAACAAGATGCCCAGCCATGTTGTTTAAGCTCATTAATTCATAAAACGTCATTACAACACAAAAACGCATTACATGTCAAAGAGATGTTGAAATGAAACCTCTTAATCCAACTTTTTAAATAAAATTTGTATTGAAGAACAACAATTTTGCTGTTATTTCACTTTGCTTCTATGTGATGTAAATTTTATTTACTTGAAAAAACAAACAAACACAGATGCTGTAGATCAATTGCAATGAACTGAAATAAGCATGCTAGCTGGGGATGATCCTCAGATAGCACCTTACTCCACACTAAATCTGCAAGTCCATTCCAATTGACCCCGTATGTCTGTATTGAGCATTACCTTGTAGAGTATTGGCTCCATTCACAACATTGGGGTGAGGGACACTGCACGTCTGCAAAATTCTGGTCTGGGAGATGCTGGCTGATAGCATTTCCTGCGCTGTGGATTAAAGACCTGCGTTAGACAAGACCCATCCCTCTCTGACTAAAGTGCAGTGCTTTAAGTGCCACAGGGAGTCAAAAAACAAGACTTGTTTTGATGTGAAAGATAATTTCTTGCAAAATACAACCATGCCGTGCTAGCCTGGGGCCCCCTCTACTCACACCCACCCCAAAAAGAAAATCCTGTATGATCCTAGAAAAAAGAATCTTCTGGTTTTTGAGACAAGATGTTTAATGGATTGATTCAAATACCAGAGTGGAGTCCTTCATGAATCTAATGAGAAATACCTTCTTCTATATCGCAGGGATATTAAAGGTATTCTAGAAAGATGCCAGCTGTATAAATGGAGAAAAAAGTCTCTTTTGTTTCTAGTTTGAGGTGAAAAGGGGGAATTCATTCACCTGGGCAGCTTTATACAAACACATACTTTACCACACATAAAAAGTGATAAAAAAACCCCTCTGTTCTCCCTATCCTAAGAACATAACTGTAGTTGTGGTGACTCTGGCTGCTGGTTATCTCTGGGGCTCTGATTAAGCAGCCAGGTGGTTGTCATTTGCCTTTTGTGTCTGACTGTTTGGCTGAGTGTTTCTCCGTGAACGCTGGACTCACCTGCCATCATGCCGTAAGTGGTCTGCTGGTTGCCGTAGTGACAGGCCGGCATAGAGTAGTGGAGCCCGGCAGAAGCATTGCCGAGCGCCGAGGAGGACAGATGCATGTGGGAACGCTTGGAGGACTGGACAAGGGACAGGCCAGAGGGCACTGCAGGAAAGAGAAGACAGCACCCCGTCACAGCACCTGCGAATGGGCAAACAACTGAGGCAGCGCAAGCCACGGCCTTTGTAATCTACAGTATACAGCAGCTTGTCAAGCAATGGCACCTCCATATTAACTCAGTCCACACATCTGGAACATTCTCCTGCAATGCTGCTCAGTTATGGCGTTTCATAATGGTACAGTACATCAGCTTCCATTCGCTTTTTCTTGATAGGGAGTAGGGACAGGAAAATGGGAAAATGATTCACTCTAGTAAACCTTAATTAAAACTTCTTTTCCACACTTCATGTGTGGTGAGTTATCGAGGGGCTATAAACCACAGTCTTTTTACAGAGATCATAACTTGGCTTCTTGTGTTCTTATCCCGAGCTGCTGCTGCTTTTCATCTGAACAATTAAATATCTGTTCTCTACCCACATGAGCTTAAGTTGTCATTAAGACAGTTTAATAATAGGTTATGAATCCTTAACAGGAAAGTTATGCATTAAAAAAAAAAGATCAAGATCCAAAGCTTAATTTGCAAATGCCCTTGATTTCACAAATCCAGAATACCACCGTTATTCTGACGGGTAGAATTGTATTGTGTCAAAGCACGAGAGATGATTATAAAAAACTTTTTTCCAGGAAAAAAATACATATTGAAGCCTCTTTATGTTACAAAAAACAACAGCAGATGGTTAGGTAAGTCACAAATAAATTGTCACGGTGGGGACAATGTTCTGACTTTTGGAAATTTGGATTTTCCATTATTTATTCTCCCCAGTGAGAGCCTGGTTTTCCCATTATGTTTCCTTTTGTTGCGCAAACATTGCTGCAAGATGTAGAAGCAGCTTCTCCTCTGCTCATTATAAACATACTGTGGCGTTTTCACAGGGAGGAGTGAGGCTGAGGTACAGTACAATGAGAGAGAAGTTCATTGCATATGTTCGCACAGGACAGGTCAGGCTCATTATTTTATATCTCAAAGCTATTTGTTCTTGTCTCAAACTGTGCGTTTTTTTTTTTTTGGTAACACTGTATGCTCAGGGTTATCATTTCAATTTCTAAAGAAAATAAGAGCATAGCAAAGGGACAAAATGCGAGGAAGCCTTTGGCCTTCTTGGAACAAATTAATCCACTGATCTCACTCATCCAGTTCTTTAAAGAAGCTTTAAACAATCGTGTTCCATGCTCCCACAACTTGAGCAATTTTTAAAATTATTTTTATTCTTTTTTATTTTTTATTTTGGTGACCACAATTCTAAACAATGTTCTAAATAAGGGCTTATTATTGTAATGAGCAATTCTATTCATAACATAACTTCTCTTGATTTTATTTCTGTGCTTTAAGCCTATAATACTATTTGCTTTTAACATTGTACTGTACATGATGCATCTATTGTCTTAAATCTTTTCTCCAGTTTCATATTTCTACATCTTCTACAGATGTTGGTATCACCTGAGAACTTGACTTGTTCACTAATTATACCAGAATCTGGATCATTGATATAAATTAGGAAGAGCAGTGGTCCTTATACAGATTCCTGTAATAGTTGTTAATTAATTACTTTAAACAACCTGATAATTACAATATCTACATTTTCCTTTTTTACCAGGCAGGAGACAGTAGAAAAAAAAAGAAAACAAATTCCCATTTACAACACTGTCCATTATACAGTATCTTTCAACAGCTTGATAGCAACTACTCTATACTGATGATTGATTGCATGTTTATTCTGAATGCTCAAATTGTCTTCAAATATAGAAGTTACACTGCAAACAGTGTGCATAGCTAATTTGTGCATACGTTAATTATACTTTTTTGCAATCCTTAAAATGTTGCCCTTTTTACTAAAGACAAAACCAATTATCTATTTCAAAAGCTCTTTTGGAGTTATTTCCACTGTAATTTTTTTTATATGAGACAGCCACACATTGAGAAATAGATTCAAATGCATCATTTTGTAAATTGCAGACATGTTATCAGTGCTTATGGACAATCACCAAGGCAAAACACAATGCCGTTGCAAAGACAAGTAGATTAAAATGATTTTGGTATGGAGGACCCAGCAGTGCCTTATTAAAAGCTTGACCAACAGAAAAATTCAAGCCCAAAAATGTGTTGCAACCAGCTAGAACCTGGGTTACTTTCTTGAACATACTGTATTGATTCTGACAAATCTTTCATCTAATGACATTAAACCCATTTCATCCGTTCAGGATGGCAGCAACAGTATAACAAATCCATTGCATTTAAAAGGGCAAACATGTTCACATTTCCTTGCTTTGTCTAAATATGTATAAAGCAGGATTAAAAGTAATTTTAGACAGTAATGGTGTTGTAAAACAGCCATGATTTCACCTGCATATTTTCCCACAATCCATAGTATTTTATGATATTATTCTGAAAGATCCTTGCTGACTTCAATGGTGTTGTATTATTGTCAAAAGTTCTAAACACCCCAAAAATCTGAATTACACTCCCTTATCCCCCGTCAGCATTAGGGATGTATCCAATGCCATATGTACTGTAATAACTTCAACACAATCAAAACCGCTGAAGCACTCATGCAATGGCAACTGCATGCACACACCTGATTTTTCCTGATGATCTAAATTTCCCTTAATGTGATACAAGCTCTGAAATATTATTAGATTATTAAAACAGTAAGTTCGGCACAGCATGATGGTATTGCTGATGGCTTTTGTGTCACAATATAGTCATTGAAAATTACACAATTCATTATTTCCTCCTAACGTTTTTAGAAATGCGCCACGCATACAATTTCTGGAACACAGGACAACTACAAATTAATCTGCCAGGAAACGTCAAATTTAATAGTGGGTCCTTACCATGCAGGATTTCAGGAGCGATGCCTTGCATTGTAAATGCCTTCAAAACTATGGCTCCCATATTCACATAAATCATGATTCTTGAGACGCAATACTTGCTTTCCCACTTGTAAAATTCCAAGTACTAATATAGTGTAGTATAAACACATTTACACTAATATTACCTTCTTTACTCTCATTCATAATCAAGTAAAACAGTATGCATGTTGCTGTGTTCAGCACATGAAGAAAGTGTGATTTAGAATCATCTTTAAAAACTCTTTCTTATTTGTGCTTTAACATGTTAATTTTTAGTTCACCTTGTTGTTAATACCTTTTAAAAAACACACACTGCTTACTAAAGTTTTTGCTCACCAATAATTCCTAACTAGCTTGATGCTTGGTTGTATGTGAAACCTTACTGATACAGCCAGGTTAGAGTACAATAAAATAAAACACACTGCAAAGCTTCATTTAATTAATTGGAAGAGCCTGTTTTCTGCTATAATGCCATGTCTCTGCACCCGCACCAAACATAGAAACAACTCAAAGACATTTTGGTCTACCAGATGTTCCAGTGTGGTAGCTTTTCTTTACAAAATGCACAATTTAACTCAACAGAAAGACCAGGACAAGGTCATTAGATCGTCACCCCTAAGAGCAAAGAGCTTATTTAAAGTCTTTCCTTTCATCCAACAAAATAAAACTAATAGGGATGGGACAGGTGCAATACAGGAACAGCAACCTTTCCATTTCAATTTTAATCTGATGCACTGAGTGCTAACTGAATAGAACATTACTCACAATATAAGTTATTTTTATTTGTGTCTTCCCTGCAGAGGTCAATGAATAGGCACTTTATTCCTATTCCTTCAGAAAAATGGAGACAGGCTCACACAAGCACGCACATACGGAAAGACTTGCTATGGCAAATTCACACACACAGAAGCATCACCCACACACAGAAAGATCTGCGTACCAGCAAACATGCAGATGTCCACCTTGCCCTTCATAAAAAAAAAATCCTTGCCTGAAAACAGCACAGAAAGAGAGCCTCAGCCTTATTTTCTAGGATCAATTCTGGCATCACATGGCCTATGCACAGTAAACCTGTCACCAGCCACTCCTGTCCAGCTTTAACTCACCAGTGCTACAGTACATGTTTCTGCAATTGCTGCGATTTTCAAACTAGTCTGAGCTTTTGCAGGAAAGACCATGTGTCTCCATTGTCTTTGCAAAGCCAACAGCAGGTGCATAACCATTGCTTGATTAGGAGGCTGTGTTTTCCACCAGCTTAGAGAAGAATGGAACAGCAAGACTCCCATTATTCTCATGTGGAGAAGTACTGGAGGAGTATTTGAAGTGCCACAGCAGAACTCGTTAAACCGAAACAGCGCAACTCAAAACTGTTTTTAGAGCAGAACCTTCTGTCTCGGGGATCGTGGCGGTTGGTGTGGAATGGAATGAGGCTCCATGTGTGAGCAGCCGAGGCCGTCAGTTTGCCACATGCCAGCTGGGCAGACTGAGCGTCACGCGGCCGCAGAGGTGTGGGGCGAAGGCTGGGTACCTGTGGGCACCACGCCGGCGGAGTGGTTGGAGACGGGCAGGCACTCGCCAGGGCCAGGGTGGTGCATGATGAGGGGCAGGGCGGAGGAGTCGGCGGCGGCGAGGGCGGCGAAGGAGTCGGCGCTGGCGAAGGCCTGGCACGTCATTCCCTCTACCGGCCGGGGCGTGCTGCGCTGGTGGCCCCCGGCCCGCGGTCACTCAGGGGCCCCGCTGGGCCGCGCGAAGGCTGGGTGAGAGATGGCGCCGCGTACCTGGGCGAGGATGTCCTTCTTCTGAGGATCCCTGCCTTGCATAAACTCATGAGACGGCTGTCTGGCGCGCTCAGGCCGTGTGCAGGTATTTATACTGGCCCCCGGAGCCTGCTCATTCATTTTAATTCTCCTTCTCAGGGGTATTACCATAGAAGAGCCGGTACCTGTGTCCTCTGGTACAAAACAGGATAATTAGGGAGAAAAGGGAAACCCGATACTCTTTTTTTTCTGCTCACCTCTTACTAAATCTGTGTGTGCGTGGAAGAGGCTGGATGTGTTTTTGTTTATCCTTTCACGAATGTTAGCCCCAAAATGCACAGAAAGACCAGTCTCCTCGGTTTCATGCTCTGAAGCGCCGCAGCAGAACGGGGTGTTTTTAGATTTCATGGTGGGCTAAGTGTGGCTTAGGCGCTCGATCTCTCTCCCGGAGATAAATGAAGCTTTCAATACTGAAGAAGGAAACTGATTCCAAGGTATTGTGCTGTTATCAGCGCACAATGTGTTCACACAGCACCGGTGAAAGTAGAATAACTAATCCTAATCATTTACAATCCTTTCACCATCAATCATTGTGGATAAGATTATATATGCAGCTGTGCAAACATTTTAGATATCATTGACTCCTCCAGAAGTTAAAATCGATTAATATTATGCTCCTCAAAACTTTACTCAGAGCCTTCCGCTGGTTTTATCTATCTCATGTGTGATGGGTTTGTCTCTACATTTATAGGAACCATTGTTAATACTATGGTTCCTATAAATGTAGAGGAACCATTGTTAATACTATGGGTGAGAAGAAACCAAGCTTGTCATTGAACAATTTTTAATTCAGACTGGTCAGAACAATCAAAAGCCTAATCACAACAACTCATTATTAAAACATTTTACTGTATTTGCTCATATGAAGCATCTGATATGAAGTGTTGTAGTAGCTAATCCATCACATTTACCAGTCTAGTCTCATTGACTCATTGTTAGGTGATCTTTGTTGTGGACATGATTTGTTTCTCTTTACACTTCCATAAAGCTGAAATGATACTTGATCAGGATTAATTATTTTGAAGCCATGATTGTCTATGTCTGTGATTTTTGCACAGCAATGTATTATAGCACAGTTCTCATCAAGGTACTGTATCTCATCACTTTTGAAATCAAGTTAAAGTTTCAGGCAGATATTTTGGGCATTTTGGGCATTTTGTTAAACCTTACACAATCTTAACCTCCAGACTACACTGGCAACCTACACAAGTGACTCAGAATAACAGATTTTTATGCTCTGCCTTGAAAATAATGATAAATGATATAATGATAAAGACAGCCTTCAGGTCTGATTGCATTATTTATTTCCTCATCTAACTGTCCACAAATAAAACCCAATCAAATCTCTAAATCAATGAGACTACACAGAGGGAAATTAGACTTTTCTTAAATTAAACTTAAATGACTTAAAAGGAAGCTTTGCAGATTCCAAGCATTATTTGTTGAACATTTTTTCCCTTTCAAAGTTTGCGTTTGGGATATTTGAAAATGCATTTCTCTCTTTGTTATTTCCAGATGCTCCATGACTGTGAGCTTTGACTGTTGTAGAGAGCAGGGTGTGAAGGAGAACAATACTTATTCTGCATTTGGAAGCAGCTTAACACACCTCCTTTTGTTTCTGGGAATGTAGCAGGAGGTTTAGAACGACTGTGTTTGTTTAAAGAAGTAATTGTGGTCTTTAATTATAATTAGCTTAATGTCTGTGTTAAGTTAAGGTCTGTTGGTGTTCTACCTGGGTAGACAGCAGCGGAGAACCAGCTGGCTGTGGTGGATTAGAAGGATGTGGGTTGTTTTGTGTATGGATTTGTGTAATAGTTAAAATGAGTCTATCTACAGATGTGAAGCTGCATTTTGTTTCCAGTTTTCATTCCCACTTTGAGGCTATTCTACCCCGTATGAACGCCTGCACTCTAATTAATTTAAACACTTGTGTTTTGTTTTTGGTAGCAGTTCTTTGAAAGAAGAAGAAGCTTAACTTCCATTCCTATGATTCCTCTGATAAAACTAACTAATATGATACTATATGTTTTTTTTAGCCCAGGTTACAGTGCTTTAAAACTAACATGAGATGTTTTAAATGTTATTTTTAAGAACTCCATGTGCATCACGGAAATACTTGAAGTGCACTCACATAAAGTATATGCAGAACAATATATCATTAAAAAAATAGGGTAAGATCCTGGGTGGCTCAGTGGCATGGTGGCTAGGGACTGGAATCAATTCCTTTGTTGTTATCTGCGTGTTTATATGTTCTTCCCATGTGTGCTTGTACTTTGGTTTACTCCCACAATCCAAAGATATATTGGTAGGCTTATTGGCTTTTGGGAAAAATTGGCCCTGGTTTGAATTTGGGAGTGTCTGTGCCTGTGTATGTCCCGCAATGGACTGATGTCCAGGGTGTATCCTGCCTTGAGCCTGTTCCTTGCCAGGACAAGCCCTGGCTTGCCTTCAACTCTGAATTGGATACAGCAGTTAATAAGCAGATGACTAGAAGGTAACAACCCCTCTTAACAACTTGTCAGGGACAGAAAAAACAGAGTACTTTAACACCACAGTTAGTTTTATCATGAGTCCACCCGATTTCTTACCTGATAATGCTGAATGTTAGTTCTGAGGGGGCTGGCCTTGTAGTCATACACTGAACTGTGTGATCTCTGCATCCAAAAGGCAAAACATACCAGGTAAAACAATCGACTTTCCAATAAGGAATGGATACCAGAATACCAGAATGCCTACGGACTAATGGATGGAGTTCTCTGCTCTCTGATTTGTACTGTGAAAGGAAAATGGTGACTCTCATTCCCTATAAGCCAGTTGCCGAGATAGTTCTGAGTGGTGGGGAGGAGAAACCAAATGGTACAGGAGGTTATTGCCTGAACCTAGACTAGCCGAAAATCAACAGCCTCCCACACAAGAGTGCAGATCCCCAGGTCATGTCACAAAAACTGGTGGGGATGTGGTCTGATAACTGCAGCAAGGACAGCCCCGAAGAGCAGAGGTAAACTGGGTGTCCAAGTACTTCCTCCACAGATGAGAACATTTCCAGCATTAAGGACAAAACTAAGGAGACACGTGAGGCATACTCTCATTGCCAGCCACATCACTTACCACATAGATAGCTGGGTCTTAAGGAGACTCACTGATATAAGAAATCATCCAATGTAGGGTGCTGGCTGCTAATATAAAACCTACTATATAGAAAAGAATAGATCTTTGAAATATATAGAATTAAATAGAATAGCTATTTGACATATATACATTAGAATTGAATAAATATTTGACATACAGTACTACCATGCAGAAGGCATACATTTTCTGCACATTTTTACAGAAAATGAAATCCATTCATCTCACTGAAATTCATTTGAATGAAATTATGAAGGGGGTATGATGTAATGATGGAGGTAAAATACAGTGAAAGGTTGACCCAGCCTGCACAGATGCTCTAAATATAGCTTGATGAGCAAGAAAGGTCCTAGCTGCTATGCTTTGGAACCAAGGTCTGCTTCTGTGGTTTTCTCAGCTGAGGAGACAAGGTTGATGATACAGTAATCGTCACACACTGGACCCAGGTAACCACACAGTGTCTCAAATGGGAGCTCCTAGGCCACTGTCCTCACAGCCCTGGAGTGGCACTGAGTGATCCTTAAAGGAGTATCTCTCCAGCAGACATTTATAGCTTGTCCAAGAAACTACTGTCTTGTCGGACAAAATAGGGTCCAGTCATTACTTTTCACCACCAGGCAACCCATCAGACACGTATAAAACTACAAAGCCTGATGTTTAAACACAAAGAAAAATATGCCTGAATTTCTCCCCCGATGCTGTGTTTTTGTTCTTTACGTCAGAAGCTTTTACAGCACTGAGGGCTCCTGATTATGATTTTGGATGTGCAGTCATCTAATTAGTTTATACAGCACTTTTTTTTAACATCTGTAGAGGGCAATGTATGCGCAAGTACCCTTGATAAGAGATATGTAATTTTCTGAGTTCTGAAGATGAAGCCCGGTTTAGAGATGTTAAAATAATGAGCTCCCAGTAGCCTTGATGTTTGATCTTCTCTAATGGAGATGGGACTGAGTTCCTACCACCATTTGCATGATTGATTTCAGACTGTGTGCGAGGAAAAGTCAATGGCAATGAATATGTAATCATCAGAAACAGAATTATCTTATGTTTGCTGATGAAGAGATATTAGTAGCTGAACATTTACCGTGCTTCAGACCTGGAAGAACAAGTGTCAGGAGTATACAGAAAGATGCACTTGAGATATAGCACAAAATGAAAGAAGAGATGTTTTGAATCACTACAGTATGTGTTTTTTTTTGCAATCCCATGCATTAGAGGAGTGGCACAGAGGCACAGTGGTTAGCAGTGTTGGGGTTCTGGGTTCAATTCTTTGCTGCTATTGTGACCGTCACGGTTCCGCACAAGCTCGTGCCCTTGCAACACCTGGAGCACGAACCCGGGTCTCTGGCGAAACGCAACAGGGAACCAGCCTCATGAGCTCAAGCAAACCTCACTCAGCCTAGGTGGCTGAGGTCCCTGCTACGTGCAGGGAGGGCGATGATGTCACCGTGCCCGAACTAGCTCCGCTACGCTATCTGGCGTTTGTACTGTATGTGCTGCCTGTGTACGTGTTGATTTCCTTCCACAGCCCAAAGTCATACTGGCAGGTGAATTAGCTTCTGGGAAAATTGGCCCTGCTGAGTGTGTGTGTGTGTGTGTGTGTGTGTGTTTGTGATACAATGGATCCTGTCCAGGGTAATTGTACAGTACCTGTTGCTTGTCTGCAGAGACTCCAGCTCTCCTGCATTTTAAAAAGCAACTTGAACATGGATGGATGCATTGGATTGATTTTAGAGTTGGAAGAGGATGTTAACAAAGTAGTGTAATAAGTGTTAAAAAAAGACGGCTCAGTCCTGTGGTCTTACATCACCTGCTGAAATTGTGACAGGCCAGCGGACTGATTAAAAAAGGTAGAAGAATTATTAACATCAA